CATATCACCGTTTCTTTAGACAGGAAACAGTAAATATTTTGGAATTCGACTTCTATAAAAAGTGGAGGTGTCGACACAAATGGGGCAAGAAGGGTGTCCGCAATAGCTCAATGGTTAGGAAGTTAATTTTGTATTTGAATGGAATGAGTTTTTTTTTTTCTGTGGGTGCCTCAGCCTTGTACTAGTTTTGCATCGCCTTTTGATAAGGTGTCCTGGGTATGACGATAAACTACGTCCAACAGCAAGGCCTCTGATCAGGAGGTTTTGAGGAGCGTGGAACCACCTCTTAATTGCTGATGTTCCCAGGTCCACCCTGATCAGGGGTGGTAGCACCTGTTAGGGTCCCAGCTATAGGCAAATAGTTAACCTCGAAAGTGAGGTAAAAAGCATTGTAAAATATTACCAGCTATATGTTTTTGAAAAAAAAAAAATATTGCCAGCAATACGTTTTTGGAAAAAAAACTGTTGCCAGCAATACGTTTTTAGAAAAACAATATTACCAGCTATACATTTTTGAGGAAAAATATTAACGGAAATAGATTTTTAACCAAACAAAAATATTACCAGGAAAAAAAATAGTTGTTGGTATTAAATGACCCATTGAGGTTGCTATGCCACAAAACAAACCAAACCTTTTGATAAGTGTCGCCTTCAGTAGAAACGGTCTATCTTGTGACTGAAATGTTTCTTAAACCACAGGCAGGAGCCGTAAGTGTTGAACAAACATGAATGTGGCAGAGCTGGCAGATATGATGTGGCATTAACGACCCGCGATACGATGATTACTGAACTGTAATTAAGATATTTGAAGTGACAAAAATATGGTTCTCCTAACGAATTATAAAAATACCATGCGTAGAATTTAAAGCTTAAAAGGCGCCCTATCGAACGGCATTTCAGCTAGTTCTTGTGGAGGACTCTTAGTTTGGCCATCATCACAATAGCTAGGGAGGAGTAGATGCGATAGATTAGCTTCTCTAGATTACTACATTCTTGTCTGGCAACCTCCACGCTGACAAGTTAGGATGGACCTCTAGGATATAAAATACCGCAGACATGAGCATGGAAGTCACTTCACAGGTCAGGATGTGCGGGTCATGTAATGGATAGCGACTCGGAATGAGAAATCGAAGAGCCTGGTTCGAACTTCAGTCGGCTTCATTACATTCACTTACGCGCGAATACTCTTGAGAAAGATATGAATCTATCACGTTTCTCAGCTACGGATTAAATAGGTCTTGTATCTGGAAAAATCAATGTTATCGTCAATGCTGACTTGCAAAAAATTATTCTTCTTAGAATCCAAAATAACGACTAACTAAATATCGTCGTCATTGTTGGCGGAAATCTTTGCCGAGGATTGGGATTTCTTCTCTGTGAAATGAGTCCTATATTGGCTTTAAAGAAACCTCCGCAGCCACCGCATGGTGGTGGAGGAGGGTTCAGGCGATGGTGAGCCATGGCTTCTCCTTGGTCTCTTTACCTCTGTTCTATTAATCCAGAATATCATTTAGTTCAGTCAGTTATGTGCCATACTTAGGCGAAAAAAAATCTGCCTCATCAGTCATGTATCCAAAGATACATGACTGACGAGGCAGATTTTTTTTCCCGCAGTAGGTTGCCATTTCTTTCTCTGGTAGTCCAGTTGCCATCCAAGGCTATAGAACCCTGTCTTTCCTTCTATTTACTCATAGCTGGGGGGAGAAGAAGAGGAAGATTCATAGCTTTCCCAAGGGTGTTAGCAAGTAAACAACCCGCTAGGTGTTCATGTTCGGAAAAAAAAAGAAGAAAAAACGCACGGTCAAAGTACTTAAATTAAAACAGGTACGAGAAATCATATATTTCTTTTTAAAAACCCATTTTGAGGATTTTACATTTTAATTCATTTTCAGAAAATGAACTTTTTAAAAAAGTTGCTTTCTTCATCCCAGCAGACGTTCATGGCACTTTTTGTCGAAATCTGTTATATACCGTACTAATGAATGTCGATAGGTATGTCCTAATCCTCATAAATACGTTGGACACTATTGTAAGTGGGGGGGTAATGTGCTGTCTAAGTGTTGTGTGATCGGGGAAAAATACCCTACTGAGAGTTTGCTCACCGGTTGTTTGGAAGAAGCTGTACAACTGGAACTTGCTTCTTACTAATGGAATACGAAGGATTCGTCCTTCACGTGGCATGATGGGCCCCAGCTGCAAAGGTTATGGATGGTGGAACCAAGGAATGTATCACGCCAGAACTATGGAAAAAGCGGCAGTTTAGCGAGAGGCTTCCGACGTTTCGGCTGTTAGAAACTTACTTATCCGGTGGAAAATAATTCATCACCTACAAGGACGCAGAGACCCTTGCAGATTCTGTCAAGACAAGCAAGTGATGACAGATTAGCTACTGCCCAATTGCTGTAATGTACGTTCGGTTGGTGTCATGGATAACGGCTCGGAATTTTTAATCGGAGAGACGAGTTCCAGTTCCAGTCGGGTTCGTTTTTATTTACTTATGTGCAAATACCTCTGGGAAATATATGAATCCACCTCCTGGCGAGCATTGTATTTTGTTGTTGTTATAAGATTAACATTTTATTTCCAACCTCCGTTTTGGTTATTCCTAATTCAGTAACCCTTTCTAGGTTACAAAGAAATCGTAGATTAAATAAAGTTTGAAATTCCCTGAACTTTACATGGACATATAGAAACCACACAGACGCCACAAGAAAGTCGGAGGGTACTACGGTCGAAACGTTATGATAATTACGACAAAGATACAGATATTAGATAGACGACACTAACTATTTTTTTCTCAATAGACGTAGATATGTTCGTCTATCGTCCGGTTCACACTCCTCCCTGAACCTTTGAACAGGAGTGGAGGTTTATCATTTGCCTTTTGTTTAGGATTGGGTTTCCGGTTGCTTCTAATGTCTAAACTCTATACTTTTGACATCTCCACATAAACTCTGAAATTTTATTCACTAATTATTTTTTCTCTCAATAGGAGTAAATAGGTCCCCCTATTGTCCGGCTCACACTCCTCTTTGGTCTTTGGAACAGGTTTAGAGAATTTTCCCTGGGTTCCTGATTAGGATTGTGTTTCCAGTTACTTCGAAAGTCTGTATAGGCTCTCGTTTTTCTCGATCACAACAATATTTAACTCTTTAAATCTAGAGTTAACCAGCACCATGAACTTCAATTCTTGTCCTTAAGTTCATACGACACCATAACACTCTACCTTGAGTGGTTTGTTGGCCTTGTATTGGGTGAATATCAATAAAAAAAAAACAGAAAATCATGTCAAAACAAACATTTCCAAAAACTGTTCTCTCTTGTGTGGAATGTTAAATATAAAGCGGTTACAATTGATTAACCGCGCTAATCGTGGGAATTCAGTCGTTCCGTAGGACTTTGTCTCCATTTGATTCTTTATCGATTTCTTTTTATTTTACAAACCGTGTAATCACATGACTTTTCTGATGCAGACGAGGGAAATAAAACTATAAAAACAAAAGGTAATTTATTAGCCTCAGCACTGACGTAAAATATTCTATCAACGGAAGCAAATCTCAAATCTTGTCGTGCTAATTTCTTTTGGCTTCAACGAGACTGAAACTTGTTTGTCGAAGTTACGTTCTTTCACTTGTCATATTACCTTTTATGAGCATTGTTTTTAAACGCGACTTTTGAACTTTTATTTTTTTTATCTTTTTTTTTATCTTTTTTTGTGGCGGGGGGGGAGATACGATAACATTGATCTAGACTATGTTTTATTCATTATGAAACTGCGTAGCGAGTTTCCTTGTGTGTGCGTCTTGTGTTCATTAATTACAAAATGTCAAAACAACATTCAAAACAGACTAACATTTCAAAATCTGCAGTTTTACAAGAAAGTTGTTAGCTAAATTTTATATGAAATCTTCACTATAAATTTCTCGATCAGTGAAAATAATAATCCTCATTAAATTAAAAGCAATGACAATTTTAATTAAAAAAAAAACAAAAAAACATTTACTTTAATACTAATGTTCACGCAAAACAAGATCTGTTATGTGCCATGCGTGATACATGCTTAGGTGATCATGTATCTTTCGATATATATCACTGACGAGGCAGATTTTTTCCCCGCAGTACGTTGCCATTTATTTCCAAGGCTATAGAACCCGGTCTGTCCTGCTACTTACCCATAGAAGAAGAGGATTCATACCTTTCCGAAGGGTATTAGCACGTTCGACTGGAATTTGAACTCTGCTTTCCGATTCCTCAATCCAAACCGCTATCCATTACTCGGGATCAGGAATACATTCAGCCGAGTCTGCAGAGAAAGCAGATTCTGAATCCCGAACATCTGCGCGTATTTTGCTAACGTTTCTGTGCTTCTATTATTAAATCTGTTGTAATTAAATAAAAACCTATATTACTTGTTCACTAACACTCCTGCCTCAGCTTGGAGATTATATCGAGAAGTAATGAAACTATATAGAGGACGTCTTTATCTATCATCTGACGTACGTTTTCATTTTGTCACAGATTCTTTACTTCTACTATTAAATCTATTGCAATTTATATACTATCTTTCAAGGTAGTGTGTAGTGTTGTGTGATCGGGGAAAAATACCCTACTGAGAGTCTGTTCACCGATTCTTTGGAAGAAGCTGTACAACTGGAACTTGCTTCTTACTAATGGAATACGAAGGATTCGTCCTTCACGTGGCATGATGGGTCCCAACTGCAAAGGTCATGGCTGGTGGAACCAAGGAATGTATCTCGCCAGAACTATGGAAAAAGCGGCAGTTTAGCGAGAGGCTTGCGACGCTTCGGCTGTTAGAAACTTACTTATCCGGTGGAAAATAATTCATCACCTACAAGGACGCAGAGACCCTTGCAGACTCTGTCAAGACAAGCAAGTGAGGACAGATTAGCTACTGCCCAATTGTGGTTGCAATACTCCATTTTCAGTTTGATCTGGCTCATGTAATGGTAGAGTACAGCAGAGGAAGTCACATACTGGCTTACGACGACATCACGTTGAAACACCGGCTCCCGTGCAATCACCGGATTTAAGCAACGTCGAGCCTGTTCAGTACCTAGATGGGTGACTGCTTGAAAATATCAGTTGCTGTAATGTACGTTCGGTTGGTGTCATGGATAACGGCTCGGAATTTTTAATCGGAGAGACAAGTTCCAGTTCCAGTCGGGTTCGTTTTTATTTACTTATGTGAAAATACCCCTGGGAAATATATGAATCCACCTCCTCCTCCCAGCTATGGGTTAATTAGTAAGACTTTTATCAGTATATAATTATCTCAAAAAAAAAAGAATCTTACAATCTAAAAAAAAATGTCTTATAGCTTTTAATAATCTGCGAAAGGTTGATAAGCCGTATGAAACAGACCATTCCTTCAATATACTTACTGGAGAGGAGGTATGGTGGAGTAATAGCGGATAGGCTTGAGGAATAGGAGAGCCGAGTTCGAATTCCAGTCGAATCCATTACATTCACTTACGTGCTAATACCCTTGGGAAATGAATGAATCCGCTTCTTCTCCCACCAGCTATGGATAAATAGCAGGACAGACCGGGTTCTATAGCCTTGGATGGCAACTGGTCTACCGCAGAAAGAAATGGCAACCTACTGCGGGAAAAAAAATCTACCTCATCAGTCATATATCAAAAGATACATGATCGAGTAAGCGTGTACCCTGCATGGTACATAACTGACTGGAGAACTTACAGGGAGCCGACCATTTTTGTAACATCTTTAGCAAAAGATCGTATATGTGAGTTCCACCTGAGGCGTGGAGTAAGCTGGAGAGGTTATGTAACATTTTTTTTTTTTTTTTTTACCTGAATTCTGACAGGAATTGAAACTCGGCTCACGGATTTCCGCCCCTGAGCCGTTATCCATAATACCAACCACATATTCAAGCTTACACCACCTGGTATTCCAAACAGTCATCCATGTGGGTACCGACCAGACTTGACGTTGCTTAATTTCGGTGATCCTACGAGAACCGCAAGGAATTTGAAGAGAATTTCATAGGCAGGGAGAGTGAAAGAATTATTTGAATGCTGATCTACAAAAATGATTACCCCTTCCCTCAAAATTTTTTCCTATTTTTTTTTTTTTTTTATTTATTTTATTTTACATTTTTTTTACGAGAGGACCAGTCACTGTCAGCCGTGACAGACTATTTGCTTCTTCAACTTCGACATAAATTATTTAGGCTGCCTGGTTTAACGGTCAAAGGTCATAAAACTCTTTCAGGTTATTGTTGCTTACTAGTGGGCAATATGAAAAACTAAACACGGTAGTGGTGGTCGTGAAGTCACAAACAAAAATTCTGGGCGCGTCTCGCGATAAGCAAGGCGTGCCAAGACAATCCGGCAAGGCACGGTAGAAAAGAAATAAAAGGACGATATCCTAGAATGGACACATGAAACTGAGTGCCGCCCAGTCTCAGGGCAAAGAAAGATGAAGGAAGTTTGTTGCCAAGTCATCTTCGGTGTCTCTACGGTCGACCAAACGATGATGATGATGGCACTATTAGGTAGCAAATAGACAATTTGGAAAGAAAAGAGGAGTGGCAATAGTTTATTTACAAAGTTTAGCTTAAATTTGGCATCAGACCACAGGAGTGGAAATCTGATTCTAGATTACGGTCCTGCCTAACGGTCGGTAGGTATACGACTGAGAACGTTGATTATAATAAACAAAAAAAAAAACAAAAAAAAAACGAAGAAATATTAAGAATGAATTGAAAATACATCTATTTTAAGATCAAGTAATTTCAGACAATACGGTAAAAACAAAAACAAAAAAACAAAAACAATATGGCCGGATGAGTTAAAATATATTGCAATATATCTCTAGCTTCGTGCTTCATTTACCCATTATCACTTGAGGATGGGTAAGCCGCCTATACATCTCTGAATCTAACTTGCCCAATTTTTAGGACACAGTAGGTTTAATTCTAGTCGCATATTTTGTAACCAAATGGTGTTCCGTGTAAAAATGTAGCAGCTAATCAAAAGGGTAGATCTAGCTAAATCTCAAATCGAAGATTTTTGCCTGCAGGTAAAATAAACGTTGGAATTTCCTTTAAAACTGACTTTTTCTTTCTATATGGAATTTTTTTTTTAAAATGGAGTCTTATTCTACTCCAGAATATCCACTGGGGCCATGTGTCCTTGGTAGCCTAGACAATAAATGCGCTGGTTGATGTAAACCAGTGAATTTGAAGTTCAATACCTGGCCACAGCAGAGGTGAGCAAAACCTTGGAAAGTAGTGTTACTAAAGGGAAATAACTAAAACTAGGAAATGTCATGGTATTTGGAACGTAAACAGTCTACCCAGGTGGACGAAATAAAGGATTCGGTTCGAAATTCCAGCATATATCACCTGAAGAAGACCGGAGCGTACAACGGCCGAAACGTCATGAATATGATAACGATAAGGAAAACAATGTAAATGGCGTTAAATAGTTACAATACCTCATCTCAGAAATATAGATAGACAATATTTCTGGCGTGCTCTAAGTCAGTAGCAATAATGTTTTGTCTCTGAAACTATGCCTGACTCCAGGATCGTCATAGGATAAATATTACTGCCGTTTTAATAGCGCTAGTTGTATGAACTTTAACTTCGCCAAAATCAGCTTTGAAGAATGCTATAGACAAGTAAATAAATAAATAAGTAAAAATAACTGACTTCCCTTTCTGTTATTTATTTATCTCTATCGCATCTTGATTTATGAGCGACCAGGTTGCTTCTCTTCCTTCACAGTTGGATGCCCCGTGCTTGATAACTTCCTTGGCTTGTACATTTCTTAAGGAATGAAATAGGTTCGTTCTCATTGGCTAGAAATTGACCCTAATACTACTACGTGTCAACACATTTTTTTTTTTTTTTTTTTTTATGTACAACAGCGAGTGAGACAGATTTTATAAATATGTGTATTCATGTTTAATGAACTATTTTTTTTTTTTCATATTTTACTTAAGAGTTACCTGGGGTTGGGGTTTATTCAGTTCCCATTCGGCAAAGGTATGAATCATCTTCTTCCGCTCTGAATCCTCTTATGGCAAAAAAAAAACCCTTTTTGTTTATATCAAAATTCACCCAATACAAGTCTCGAGAGCCGCTCATGGTAGAGGACTGCTAAATGAAGTGAACAAAAGAGGGAAGTAGAAGGAAGGGAGTATTATGAGGATAAGCAGAATAGATAACAATTGATTCTTGACCTTGAAGAAGCTAATATTGTTCTCAGATAAGCATCTATGTGGGATTTTTTTCAACAATGTAGCAGTTATCGGAGGGAAAAAATTCTTGTTTGGGTGGGTCTTCCTCCCTACAAATGGAATACGATGGAATGTTTCGAGTCTGTGGACAAAGCATGTTCTATATCATAATTGTAAAGGTCTGAACTTGTCTGGACTTTTGCCGTAGAAATAGCAATAGATTAGCGATGGGCTAGCAATTTTGCGTCTGTAGGGAAAGTGGCTGCAGAGTGTAAAATGTGACGCCCCCCACCAACAAGACAGCGTAAATGATTTTGAACTCTTTCGTGGTTATACTGCACAGATAACATTAAACATTGTAGGAGCCAGAAACTTTCTGGGACGATAAAAAATGATGACCCTTTTTCTGGCATCTTTAGTGATGGATCGTATATAGGAGTTCCACTTGGTAGGTCTGCTGCTAGGAAAGTCTGTCCACTGTATCGTGCTAGACAATTTCTTGCTAGAATCTACTGCGAGTTTCATTATCAGTTTTTTTTTTTTTTGGGGGGGTTAACCAGGTAATTATTTTAGAAGAGCTTAAAAATAATGCATTTTTGGTGAGCAGTTAAAATTTAAGGTTCGCACTATACATGAATACGGCTATATAAGCGAGTATATACGGTAATCACTCATGAATTTACTTATAACTTGATTTATCTCCCTTCCCACTTCAAATGGGACAGGAGATATATAAATAAATACATATTGATAATTATTATATGGTTTGAAGATGACTATTAAAAACACCAAAAACTGGCCGCGGGTGTGTAATGTGAAACAAAAAAATGTTTCAACTGTTCTTTCTATCTACTGGTAGTGTGTGACACGATGCTTTTTGAAAAACGGACACAAATTATCCCTAAAATGTAACAAATTTGAAAATAAAAATGCGGTTATCTGGGCAGCGAGGGATAGAGAATTTCCGGAAATATTGAAGACACTGTGGAAAGTGTTTCTCTCCTGCTGTGTTGCTACCACCTGCTACTTCTCTTCCGCTGAGTAGTAACACACACACACACACATATATATATATATATATATATATATATATATATATATACACGCACACACACACAAATGTTCCACAGCTGTGATGCCAAGAGTTTGTCTGAAGAGTAATACTCAATTCGGACAGCTCAATGGAAGCTGTCAAATCGAAATCGTTGTGAGTGACACATAATTGGAGACAGGTGCTAAGATTCAATCAGTTATATTTTTATTTTATTTTTGTTAACACTAGCATGCAAGTATTTAATGAAATTTTTCTCCACATAACATGTCCCTAAAGAACAGGTCACCATATAAAACACGAAATAACACTAGTGGCCACCCTTGCAAAAAAAAAACACGAAAAGACTGACCAATTTTTCTCTCCCTACAAAGGGCGCTTTTCGTCCTAGCAATACTGATTTGTATTTAGACATGGATGTCACAATTGAGGATATTTCTTATTTCCGTCGTGGTATAAGCAAGATTTTACGTCCACACTTCAAAACGTTTTATTATTATTATTATTATTATTATTACAGTCCTTCTCTTGTCTGTGTTGATACTACATTTTCTTTGACGAACATGATTACTATCTCACGCAAAACTATTTTCTTGTCTTCTCCTACAGCCAGATACAGCAGGTTTTATATCTACAATAGAAACCCAATTTCGATAGTGTTAAAAATGGTGTTGGTTCATCAACATTGTCCAATACAATTAGACGCAAAAAGAATTCGTGTTATCGTAAAAAGAAACAGTCTAGTTTTATTAATCTACAAGGAAGATTTCATTATTCATCTACCTATGCCAGACTTAGTTTATCTTAGAGATGCTAGCCAAAGATAGATGTT